CCCCAGATTGTAATATTTGAGCAGGATACAGGCCTAGTAGTTGTGGATCCTATAAAAAATATCAACATCAAAAATGTATAGAATCTTATTAACCAAAGGCAAAAGTATGAGGATTTCGCGATAACATTTATTTTCAGATTTTGTTTAAAAGGATTTAGCATATTTAACATTATTACATTATGCAGTTGTACATAATATATTACAAAAGTTTGAATGAAATTCAGTGAAATGTAACCTGAAATGTAGAATAAACTTCCGTATCACCTTATAACTAAACTTCGTTGAACTGACTCTAATCTGTCCATCAACATGTAGAATTATTGGTCCAACAGAAACAGAATTTGGTCCCGTTACACACTGTACACTACATAGTAAAAAGTTGTCGCATATATATGAACCTAGGATACCTATTGTAAATTTGAATTCAGTCGCCTTTGAAAACAAAATCGTAAAACTTACATTCGATCAATTATAGAAACATTCGCACATGGTACATCAGCAACAGTAATGTTATCTATTTGTTTTCTTGACATTCCAATATGTTTCCCTTTGATTGAGATATGGGTACCACCATCAATCGAACCATCTCTTGGATAAATCTGTCTTAACACAAAAAATCAAATAGCACTCTGGATGGACAAGCAAAAACAGGGAGAGATCTTTTTCATGCCAGAACTTACTGCTACACGGGGCCTTGGTTTATACTGTCTTATCCGGAGGACTGATTTGGGATTCTAACCCGTAAAGTAAGGTTTAAGGTTTCGTCAAAGGTCAACATGTCCGAAAATTTATTTTTGCAATAGCCCCAAAACTATGTAAGGTATAAAGTTTATAAATATTTCATTGATTAACAGATGGAAAGTATCACTTGATAAAAAAAAATACTTGGAAAAAATATTAATTAAGAAAAATTCTTCTTAAAAATACATATATTTTCAAAAAATACACCTAATAAATTCGGAGCTCGTAGTGAAAATCATTATTGCAGAAACAAAACATGTTTATCAATGAAGGGCAAGTTGGACTTGGATAGTCTCTGGAAAGTACTTTTCCTTGTTTATTCTGTCCAAATTTTAAGACTTGAAAGTAAAAGTACATTGCAAATGGCGGATTCTATAGGGGTCTTGTCTTTGTACATGTCATGCTTTCAATAACAGCCTTTCAGAGACCATTCTCATCCAAGTTGCCCTTCATTGATAAACATTTATTAATTCTGCAAAATCATTATTAATTCTGCAATAATGATTTTTAAAAAGAAGACAGAATTAAGCAGGTGCATTTTTCTTTAAATATGCACATTTTCTGATACAATTTTTCTCAATAAATATCTTTTTAAAAATATTTATCAAATGATACTTTCTATCTATTAATCAATGATATATTTATAAACTATAAACGTTTTGACTTTATACCACACATAGTTTTGGAGCTATTGTAAAAATAATTTTTTAGACATGTTGACCTTAGACGAAACCTTAATTTGTTACTCTGCGACTAAAGATCAGACACTCTAACTCTTACGTCAGACAGACGAGTTGATACTTTTTCTTACATTGAAATATGACACTTGAATGAATTTCGATCTTTTTGCAAATTATACATTTGATTTGTTACAAAATTACTCATTTCCTTACACTGTTGATTATTGGGACTGGACATAACGAATCTGAACATTTGTGTAGACTGTAGATACATTGATTACTGCACCATTTACAATTCATTGCAGTATTACTGAGCTCCAGATTCTTACAGAAGGTACAGTCTCCTAGTGCCTGGTCAGGACAGCTGTACAGAGTCACTGAAATAGGAATTAAAACATTTCTAAAAAAACGATCTAAAACGGAAAACAATGGTAAAGCAATGGAAGTTTGAATTCCTGAAATCTAGAAACAGTCAATTATTTAACTTTTGAGATTGCTTCATGCATAACATTCACATTCTTTAATACAAGTAGCTAAGTTTTCTTTTGTCAGGAAAATCATCTCATGACGAATCATAATAAGTTATCACTTTAAAGTTCGCACTGAAACGAAAAAAAATATTTCTTTAAGAATCAATTCAAACTAAGTTACATTTAATTATGAATCCGGATCGATAGTTTTTGTCCTGTCTGTTTGTCTGTCTGCTGTCAACTTTAACCTCTGCCATAATTTTAGAACAAACCATGAGAGATAGAAACTTTTTGTATGCATATTCCACTAATTAAGTTCTAACAACTGAAACATCGTTCTTGGCCTTGTCACCTTGACTGTGACATATATTCTGAAAATAGCTTTCTCAAACTTGTTGCTACCGGATGCATAATGTTTAACAAATACATCTGGTTTCATTTTATTTTATTTTAATTCAAGCTACGTAACATCTAAGGTTTGATTTATTTTAAACCATGTACATGTAACATTTAATTCAATTTTTGGTTAAAAAGATGAGAAACTCATTGTTTGTGTCATTTATAGATCATATTTCTATATCCTTAAAACGTACATTTTAAATGGTTTGCTTCAATGTTAAATTCATGTTCTGTCCACAGTACTTTCATGCTTGCTTCATATATACCCAAGGGTAAGGCGTCTTCAATCTGAAATGTTAACGTGGGAATAATGAAAAAATGCCCACATACGTATTAATTATGTAATTAAATTTTTTTTTTCAGTATCTACTTAAGGTATTGACACTGAATGCTTTATCCTCCAAGGCACATGATCCTACCTCTGGACTCTTTCTGGGTCTATATTTAATTTACTTTTTTCTACAATTGTATTGTCTAAAGAATATTTTAAAAATATATTATTGTTCGTTACATGTACCTTAACCTTTCCTGAAATCCCAAACAAAAATTCTGTAGTTACCTAAAGTTTATTTTAATTAACTATAGTGATAACTTCGACAATATGACAACTTTGTTTAATTAAAGTGATTACTTTGACACTTTGATTTACTATAGTGATACCTTTGACACTTTGTAATCACAATGAAAACTTTGATTTATTATAGTGTTAAATTTAAAGACTATAATTTATTAAAGTGAAACATTTAACTATGGAAACTTTGATTTACCATAGCGACCCTTTGAAAACTTCAATATACTATGGTAAAACATAGATATATACTATAGTGGAAGATTTAAAAAAAATTGATTTACTATCAACATTGATTTACTATAGTGATCATTTTGACAACAAAGTGAACAGTTCGACACCTTTGACTTATTATAGTGATCACTTTGACACTTTGATTTACTATTGATAACTATAGTAAACTAAACTAAACAATAGTTAACTATAGTGATTTTTAAGGGATAGCTAAAATTCAACCTAAGTAACAGGTTACATCCATATCTCCATTTGTTTTATCCATCACCTTTACTTGCACTTTTAATGTTATACTTGCCTTGCCGATCATGAAAATTAATTGAGTACTTGAAATCCTTCTACCATTTACATATAGTATCCTTGATGGTAACTGTATTTGTCCTTTATATTTGTCCTGCGAAAATACACATGTAGAATGTATTTATAAAGATAAACAAGTACATGGTTGTACATGTGTTGCAATTAGAGGTATTATTTAATATGTGTATGTGTTATTTAGACATTCGGAGAAGTACCAAGATAGTAATCTCAAAATGCTCATGAAATATTGTCATTATGAGATAAAAACATTAAAAATGATAGTAGTTATATTGTTTATTATTATAATAATAATAAGCTTTGAAATCACAGTTTGTATTACATGTAATAATCAATGAAAAACTAAAAGACTTTTAAGATACATAAGAATTTTAGTTTTATTCATTTATTTCTTAGAAATGATATCAGTTTTGTTTTTAGATACATCACAATTTATTAAATGTATTTGTGTACATTTTATGACTGTACTTACTGGTTCTGGGAAATTCTTTCCTTGAATGACGATTGTTTTAATTTGATTATGTTCTATCATTAAGGGGCCGGTCTGACTTGCGTCCACCATCGGACAAAAAGTTTTCCTTTGTCCACTTTCACTAGCCTTATTGAATAAATGAGAAAAAGTTTAACCTCTGATTACATCTTTCATATTGAACACATTCTAAGTGAAGTGCAAATATCAAGGGTGAATTTTTAAAAGACAGCTGTGAGAGCAAGAAATGAAACATACCGCGTGATTACTGAAAAAATCGATTTGAAATTAATACTAGTTGTCTATTTATAATTTGAAAACCTTTCTACAACGTTGGGATGATTTACACTCTAAAGAGACGACTACGAAACTCTTTCAGAAACAATGTATGTGATTTATAATTGAACAAAAAATCATTTGTATTTTTTGTATCTAAGAGTCAGGATAAAGTAAAGTTGGTACATCAACATAGATTGAAGAGGTTGAAATCCCAGTGCGTTGATCAGGCTAGATACATGAAGGCTGCTTAATCTTTCAACAGAGATATTGGAAATGTGAATCATAATTTCTATAGCACTGCCCGTAACAGAGTATAATAGAAATCAAGAGGTGTTTGTGAAACACTATGCAACCGGCGGCAACGAAGTTCGAAAAAATATTTTTAGCATGAAGGCCTCAATCAAGGCTACATGGTTATTGACCTTGGTGGCATTTGGAAGAAATTTATCAAAGAAGAGAGTATACTAAATTTGAAGTGTCTATCTTTCAGGGTTCAAAAAATATGGCAAAGGTTAATGTTGACAACAGTCAGACAACCAGACAAACAAATTAAACAGACAGGACAAAACAATGCGTCCCAGATCTATCGATTCTATCGCAGTCCTAATTAATTCAGTGTTGTTTCAACAATTAATGGAGGCAATTTTCATTACTTTTGGGGGAGTAGATGTCTTGTAGAGATGTCTTGTTTAACAGAATATGTCTATTTTAAGCACTGCCAGTTTCGTGTTTTCTGGTCAAGCTCGACTAGGTCCGGGTGATCCAAACTTATAGGTCACTACCTATAGAAGTCTTTTTCTTTGTAAAATACTTTAAGTGTGGTTAACATTGAATAAAAGGAAATGTATACATAATGACTGATTAAAGAATCACAATAGCTGTAGTAGAATAATACTTCCAATCAATTCTGTGCCGTTTTCTTGGTGGGTATTGTAAAAGTATTTTTAAATATAATTTTAAGTCATTGAAATAGTTTGTTTAACGACTGAAAGCAAAGCAATTTGTCAAGAAATACGCCCTTTATTATATCTATAATAATAATATTTTAACTCTTTTGCGTAACATTACATTGTACTTGCTTTTTGACTACTGACTTTCTCCCCAGAACACTGATCCGTGTTAAACTGACACTTGTTTTCTGTGATACACCAGTCACACCAGAAAATGTTGTCAACACATGTAGAGCAACTGAAACACATACATTACAATCCATTGTTAATTAGAATATACAACACATGAGACAAAAATGTAAATTAAAGCTTCTCGATCACCTTGTAAAACTACTGCAGTTGTAGAAAAGATAAGGTGATGAAACAATCACCTGGTCTGTCTCATCAGACAAAATACCCAGGCTTACGTTGATATATCCTAGAGAAAAGAAATAACAAAAAATACACTCATTTTTTCTTAAATGAACTTGTGCAGAAAAAAAGGCATGTGTAAATTTAGAAGAAGGTTAATTGTTATCTTGTTAGTTTCATTCTTTCACAATAACGCTGATCGGTTCTAATCTGAAATCTTTTTAGACAATAAAATATTTCAAACTTGCAACTTGAATGTATTTGCTATAACGATCATTCTAACCGAAATTAACTTCTGAACGAGATTCGTTACCTGAAATTTTTCCAAGATCTATACTTTTGACTGCTTTCAAAAGCTCATTTTAATCAATCGTGTAACATGTACATAAATCAACTTTTTTAAACATTTAAGTGTCATAAATGCTCCTTTTCCATAGTCCGAATTATATATTGCTGCGATTGATGAATTGATGAACAATTTCGTTTGTAGTTTTATTATCTTCTTACCCAGACTGCTGTTAAAACTGATTCTAAGATTTTCAACATTAGGATTCATACATTCAGTACCAAAGCGCCATTGAACAGCTTGGGATATAATCTGATCTCCGTTAGGAAAGCTAAACACACAGTTGTAAGAGGTATTGTCATCGCGAGGCAGATCTTTGATTGTTAGATTTAACTAAAAAAAAAGTAAAACATTTTTTTATAATACGTGTAGTAATAATCTAATAGAATAACCTTGTACGTTTCATTTTTCTGGTCTGATAAGAACGGATGAATGTGTAATAGCTTATTGAAAAAATAAAATAAAATCCAGTATAAGTGTTACAGTTTATTATATGGACAAATTCCAGAGAAATCAATGGGAGGTTATTAGAGACACAAAATCATAACAGAAAACAATTACATACATGTAAGCAGTGCCAATGTACTTAAGGTATTCCAACCGTAATAGCAAAAGATACAATGAAATTGAATACATACCTGATATGTACATGTAAGTGATGAATATTCGGCTTATTAAGACATAATTCCCATTTATTACTATTTGCCTGTAAGAGTGGGTTGTGTTCGAACTTATGACCTTGTATTTTGCTTAAGTTATTTTATTTAATTTCTAATTAATTAAAAAATATCAACTTTTGAAATTTTATCCGGATTTTTTTTTTTTCAGTTTTGATTCTTTTTCTAATTTTCATTTTCAATGCATTGTTCAACCCCAGTATACATGTACGTATTTATTGACATTCTGAATCATTTTATTAAATATTTCATTTAAAGAAAACACTTTACCGCATAGACTTCAATGCAATCTTTTTTAATTAACTACTGCTTAGTTAATGATTTTTTTGAAAATTTCTTACGGACAATGCTTTTCTACTATAAAATGCTTTAATTTAATACCGGTCTGTAGAGTATTATTTACTTGAAGGACATTTAAGGATAGAGATTTTGAATCTGATAGGGATGGAAATCCTTAAGCTTAATTCTACAGAAATGTATTAACATGACTAAGGCCTAATCATTTAATGCTTGAAAGCGACATCGGGCAAAAAATGGAAAGAAAAACTAAATGTCAATGGTCTGTTTGTATATGCTTTAACAACCCTCTCAAGAATTTATCACTCATATGGATGCCACCACTAGCTGGTGAAGAGCTGTCTAGTTTGTCCAATACTCGGCACTTAGAGTCATTGAGAAGGGGGTGATCTTTTTTGTGCAAACAGTAGCGGTACGGCGATTTATACAGTCTCTACGTCCCACAGTTGGTTTTAAACCCACAAGGTAAAGATCAACTCCTTACTTTGCCACTATAGAGCAGACGCTCTATCCACTGTGCCACGTGGGCGACACTAAACGTCTAATGGAAAATCCCAAAAGGGAGGGCATGGTCTTCCGTAAGAGATCTCAACATAATTGTAAGTTACAAATCAACTGTCATATTTTAGAAGAAAAATTTTTTTGGTAAAGCTACACAAAAACAAATCAAAGTAAAACTTTAATTTGTTGTACACAAAAATATAGAATTAAGTTCTTACGGTGATGTTTTCGGAGACATGGAGCATTGGTGGAGAGACATTAAGGATTTCGACACATCTGTTTTCTTGCTTTGTACCGTTAACCCATCGAATGTGTGTAGGGTTGTAGCAATCGCTTTTTAATGAGCATCTGCAAGTAAGGAAAGAAATAATATCATATTATAATATATAATCATTTATAATCATAATATAATCATTTATAAACAAATTCGACTATGAATGCTTATTTATGTAGGACTCTTAAGTGCAATGGAACTCCAAACTCCGACGGTCACGCCAAAGTCCGATGATCTTCACCAAACCCCGATGGTTTGACACGCGAAACCCTGATGCTGGAAAACAATTAAAGAACAAGGTTCACTTTTGCCTTATTTTGCCCTTTGCATTTCTGTAAAACTGAAACTGCATTGTTTTAGATAACAATTAATTAAATATCACTTAGGACTTTAAAGACTGCGTATCTATCAAAAAATTTTCTGGCTAGTCAATGCATTATGTCCTCACGAAATGCGTCAATTTCCTAAAATTCTGAAAAAGTCTACAAAACAGTCAATCTTAAAGGTATTTTTCGATATTTAATATAGAGCGCAACCTCTGATCTAAAATGAGCAACTACTAAATAGTAGAACTGTTTGGGGGGATTTAAAGTCATGTTCTATTTTTTTAAATTAGAGAGTGTGTTGATATCATTTTTCTTCACAGAAAGTACTCAATTATACCCGTTTACATTAAAATTCAAGAACACCATAGAGCCAGTTCTCCAAGATCTAGTACCGATCACGGTAGCTCGGTCGGTAGAGCGCTCGCTCCGTGATCGGGAGGTCGTGAGTTCGTATCTCGGCCGCGACTGACCTAGTCGTTAAAATGGGTAGCAACTGTTCCTTCGCCATGCGCTCGGCACTTTGAAGTGAAAGTTGCGGGTCCTTCGGATGAGACCTTAAAAACCGAGGCCCCGTGTCAGCTGCAGGCGCTGGCACGATAAAGATGCCTCACTGCTCAATGGCCCTGAGTGCAGAGTATAGGGGGAAATTTGCAGCTCTCCACCAGCGAGTGATGAGTGAAAAATTCTCGAGAGGGACGTTAAATAATATACAATCAATCAATCAATCCAAGATCTAGATTTTTAGGAAAAAAATTTAAGGGAAATGTACTAAGTCTCTATTTTATTTTAATGGCTTAAAATAGAAAATCAAGTGTAATCGATCAATTTGTATAATTATCTGCAGGGCCATTTTATGCATAAATTGAACTGAGAGCTTATATAACGTCATAGTACTAATGCACCAGACTACAATGCAGCACCATGACAAGGATTTATACAAGTATTAATAATTATCATTTCCCGAAAACTAATTCTTATGTCTCGGATAATTTCCAAGTGTGTAGGCCTAGCAACTCTATATAGATATCTACATGTAGATATGTTATGCGGGTGCGATACGTCAACCCTAATAACTCGACCTGTGTGCAAGAAGTAACCCTTAATCAAAGCAATTCAAAAGACTAAACCTAATCATTTGAGTGGTGTGCGAGGACTCATCCTAATATCTCGGAAACATGTAAACAATACGAAAAATAAATAAAAGCGCATGCAAGGATCAATACATAAATGATGGCATTTGATTGCAGGAAAACGATGTCAAGGATTGATGTTGAATTATTGTGACGTCATAAACGTCGATTGTTTCTCCAATTCATCGGACTTTGGCGTGTCAGACAATCGCACCCTAGCGCAGCGCGTCTAATATAGGAAACGGGCCATCGGGCTTTGGCGTGACGAACGGACTTTGGCATCCGTACCGACAACAAACCATAGGGATTTGGCGCAGACCATCAGTGTTTGGCGACACCATCGGGCTTTCGCGTCACTACCGGACTTTGGAGTCTTACATATACATATTATATGATATATATATATATATATATATATATATATATATATATATATATATATATATATATATATATATATATATATATATATATATATATATATATATAAGCTTCTCATTGCAAATACAAAGGTTTAATCATAAAATGAAAATAATTAAAGATCACCTCAAAGATCTCCATATTCCATACGTTGTGCACATTTCATAAAAATAACAGCAAACTAAATAATTTTGTACAGACCTGTGGTCTAGAACACACCATCCGCAATATGGGTCATTACTTGACAGACAATCTTTACACATGGCGTACAGGGAACAATTCTGCACCGGAATCTTGGCCACCTGGAAATGATTTACTGTTCTCTATTTTTCTATCAAAAATGAATAGCTGAGATTATGCGTGTACATACAGTAGTTGGGAATTATAAAATTTGTTTTGTTAAAATAGTATCTTATTGTAGAGATACACTGTTTACCTTGCACAAAAAATAATTTTTTTTAAAATTTGAATATTGGCTATTGTAGTGTATTGATAGAATGCTAAGGGAAGTAACTTTGAATGTGTGTTGTGTGTTAGAGTTTGTGTGCAAGAGGTGTGTTTTTTAGTGGTGTGGGTCATGTGTCAGTGTGCATGGGTAGTGCGTGCGTGGACGTCAGGGTGGAAGCCTTCTATTATAAATACATGTAATAATCTTTGTAAACAGGATAGGATTTGAGTATCCCTCAACTGTATTGCTATAAAGATTGAAAACTATATCAATATCTTGTTTCCAAAGCTGATATTTTTTCTGCAAGTCGCTTAAAATAAACAGTTTCCTTGTAATTACATTTGTAATATAATTAAAGCATGATAACTGTCAATGAGCAATCCATTCTCACTTTTCTGTCACTCATGGCGTAAAGAAACATCTGAGAATTGTCAAACGCCATATCTTGATTTATAGCATGACCCTCGTCCACTACAATGGCGGAATCATACAACTCTGCTTTGCTGGACGTTTTCAGAACCACCTACCAAAAGTAAGACGAAATCGCAGCTAGATTAAAAATCGATTATGACATCACGGTGAAAATGTACAAATGTATCTCAGCAGATGAAAAATAATTTTCTTTTTCATACACTCTTACATACTGTGATTTCTCATAATTATTGTAAACATAAACTTATGTGAAACTTATCTTCTCATTAAAACACTATTTGAATGTAAAATTAAAGCCAACTTGGTCTCGCTGTACTGACAGATATGATGTCATAGACTAGTTTGACACGCAGTTTCTCTATACTTGAGACGCAGCTCTAGCTATTATCATTGCAACTTGAAAATAGGTAAATTAAAACTAAAAATAGCGTGATATGACTAAAATTGAGTCATATTTTTAATGCATTACTCAATATTTCACAGTATCATTTAATTGATATCGAGTAGGTCTTTTATAAAGTTGCAGTCATGCACTTTTATACATAAACGTACTGCAATCAAAGGCACAACCCATAGAAAATCTCAAAAGTTCAACGATATCCGCTAATAACTATACATTATGATATTTTAAACACATGTAGCTACTGTCCGTACTATTTTGAAAAGTGTTAGTAGCAAGATGTGCTCTGTTGGTTTTTTTTCGAAATGTTACATTTTTTATTTCAATGCTTTGGTCATCGTCGGAAACCCACGGTCGGTCTCAAGAAGCGAGACCGACCGTGGGTTTCCGACGATGATGGAAGCCCTAACCCTAACCCCGTTTATAAGTTATGGCCAAGGTTAAAATTTTTAAAAAGAAGGTCAAACTCTTAGGTCAAGGTCAAAGGGTGAAAGTTCTTGTTATCAAATGGAAGGTCTTGTCATAAGGATTAAGTATGTGACGTATGAACGCACTAGCCGCAACCCTTTAAAAGTTATGGTCAAGGTTTGCCTTTTTAAAGTAGGTCAAACTCAAGGGTCAAGGTCAAAGGGTCAAAATGCTTGGTATCCATGAAGGGTCTTCTCACAAGGATTACATATATAAAGTATAAAAGCCCTGTCCCTTACCGTTCAAAAGTTATGCCCAAGGTTACATGTAAAGTTTTTTCACAGGTACGGAAATCTACGAAGTCAAGGTCAAAGGGTCAAAGTTGTTGGTATCCAATGAAAGGTCTTTCAACAAAAAATACATATATGAAGTATAAATGTCCTGGTATCCACTGTTTAAAAGATATGGTTAAAATAAAAGTTTAAAATATTTATGTAAAAGTGGTTCAAACTGCAAGGTCAAGGTCAAAAGGTTAAATTTGGTGGTACCCATAGAAAAGTCTTAACAAAATAAATACACATATGTTATATTAAAGTCATGCCTCCACTGAATCAAAAGTTATGGGAAAGGTTAAAGTTTTTGCAGACAGACAGAGAGACAGACAGACAGACGGACACGACAAAAACTATATATCCCCAAAACTTTGTTTACGGGGGCATAAAAACACTTTACTACAATGTCACCATGTGACGTCTATGAAAAGAAAAATATGCATTAATACAGGTTTATTTTGAGAGAGTAATTTTCAGGTTTGCATTTGTTTACGATAATAACTACATCAAAGAAGAGTGTGCAATCAAAGCAAATACATTGTATTATTAAACAACGTTATCGTTTGCAAAACAATACATATTTTATTAGCCATTGTAATAATAAGACACTACATACTGTATCAATAATTAACTTAAAAATAATAATAATAAAAAAATTAATAAATTCCAGACATCTGTTATGCAATTTTAATAAGCAAAACGTATTTGTCTATATTTTTTTAAAACGGATTACGATGAAAAAATGTTCAAATCTTTCGGTTTACTTTAAAAACAAGTGTGTGTTACCTTATTGATATGTCCATTGGAGGTACCAAGAAAAGCTACAGTGTGCTCTCCAGTGAAAGTGACAGCCAAAGATTCCGGATTGTCTTCTTTAGCTGGAAACTGGATGACCGGGTTTGAAACGACTGGAGTTTTCCCATCAATTATCAAATTCAGAGAACCTGAGCACAGCAACTCATCATCAGTGAATAAAGACTAAAATTGAAAACAAACAACATTAATATAAAGGCCAGTACAGAATCTGGTACCTTTGTGTCATAAATATGTTTTACTGACTATAGATGATGAGATCTAAATTATAATTATATTGTTTGTAAAAAGACTTGAGCTCATTACTAATAATTTTGCTTATGTACAATTATATCGACGTTTTGTCCGGTATATGCTTATTACGTTCCACAAGTTATTCGACTTTCAAAGTATGTTGACCTTTTCATTTTTAAGGTAATTCCACCCTCATACGATGTCATAGGTTTTTGCAAAAACTGTAATTAGTTTACATTCATACTTAATAGAACGATATCTCTTGGAAGAATGCTTTACAATAGGTGCAATGATAAATATTGTAAGTTTTAGAATTTACAAAATGCATTTTTTTCTATATCTAATCAATTATTTAATCTTTAAAAAATGTTGACTAGGGCAATAACTCCTTCTAGGTCTCTTCATTCAGGCATTTGCTTTATTGTAAAATAGTTTCCCTGATATTCACAATTCAAAAGTATCTTTAAGGTAGGAAATATTTTTGAACATTCAGCATCAGAATTATACATTTTAACTAGTTTTTACATATTTTTCATAATACTGTTTACAGAAAATGTGCGACTTTTTACGTTGACATACACTTCTTTTTAATTATGTTTTGCATCTTAAATAATATGGTGACCTATACATTTTTTGTAATAATTGGAAAATTTAAAGTATATTAAATGAAAATGAATGCAGTTTTTGTACTTTGAACCTATAAAATTGGAAGGGGGAAAATACCTTAACCTAAACAAGCTAATTATATATACTTTAGTGTTACAAGGAATTTAAAAGCTTGTTTAGAGTCAATATTTCAAAAACCATCTAGTCTATATTATGTCTTTTTCAACAAAACGAACCTTTCATTGCATTCATTTTTGGCTTATATATTCCATAACAAGGAAGAAGTCTTCCTTGCAATGTTTGTCTATCAAATGTTTCGTCTTCCAGAAAACATTCGGGCGCAGGTCAGGTTAGACCGTTCAACAGAAGATGCTTACTACTGTTTCTAGACACACGATCCTACCTCTGGAAGTTATGAGGGTTCGTGTTTTGACTCTGTTAACAGATTTGAATTTGACATGTTTATAGATACAATGACATCGCTCTCTGTTCGTAATCTTCATTTTTGTTCGAAGAAAAAGGAAAACACATCACTTGTGTAATATTTGCGAGGATATGATAGCATTGACTGACTGTGAAAGAATTCATACGTTTATAATACCATGACTTTTAATAATGAAAATTGTTAAGTCTGACAAAATTTTAAATTCTGAGTTATGTCCAAGACACGATGTAGTTACGATATCGACACATTACGTTTTACATTTATTATTTTACTATAATATTCCTCTATTCTTGTGTGTTTATTAAAGTACTTCCTGTTTTAAGAATATTTCCCTGCTGTCAATATCCACGATATCGTGCCGTTATCGAATCAGGAGTGTTCAAAGAATTATGGTTTCCATCTTAAATATTGTGTTTTTAAAATGGGTTACTTAAAACTATCCTTTATAAACTTTCCCTGTAGTGTCGATAACGTACATGAACATGTAGATATCGATGAGATCGCTTTGATATCGAACCATGTTGTCCAACCTTTTGTACATACCACCCGAGTTACTTTGTATGTTTGTTTATGCTGAATTACTTTACAAGTACGAAGATTATACCTGCCATCAATATCGTTGATATCGACGATATCGTATCGATATCGAATCATGATTATTAAAACATATTTAACGACAGTCGCCCTAACCAAACTTTTTCTTTAAACATAAAAACACAAAGGCCACGGTGCTTTCTGCGAACTGTATCAGGGTACTGTTCACAGCAATCCAAAGATTATATTTTCCGCACGACATATTTTATTTCAACAACAATAAATCCTTCAAAAATGCCTTATCTCATAAATAAAATAGATTGAAAAGTATTTACCCCCAAGAATTAGCATGATGTAATTTCAGCTAGACTAATCTGTTTTGTGTCAATCACATGTAAGATTCATAAGCCAATTTGTAATATATATTTAGATTAACAGCCAGCTTGATAACGGACAACAAAGCACCGGTGTACTATACAGGAACACAGGGCTAGTGTCTTTTATGCATATTTAAAAATGAGTAGAAATAATTTTGAACAACAAAATTAAAATGATCTATTTATCGAATGAAATTTCAATCGGGGTGTAAAAAAAATGAGAACCAAAAAAAAAAAAGATAAAACTAGATGCTGTCATGAGACAGTAATACCCGCACCAAGGTGTTTGCCTCAAAATACACAATCCTACGGGCGGCTTTCCAAGGAAAAAGTCAAAATAATTCTATATAATTCAGGCACGTAGCATCGTTTTTGAAAGTGGGGGGGGGGGCAACCTGATAAAATTTTTTTTACTTACCTAAAAAAATTAACAAGCAAAAAAAAAATGAAAAGGGGGGGGGGGGTAGTGGCCACCTTTTTTTCAAGGCAAATTACTTTCACTTCCATTTTTTTCCCCATATTTCCTTGCTATGTAGATATTGTGGTAAAAAGTGGGGGGGGGGGCAACCATCTTTTCAATGGACATTTTCTTATAGTAAAGGTAATGTTGGGGAAAAAAGTTGGGGGCCAAGCCTCCCCTGCCCCCCCCCTCCCCCGGTTGCTACGTGCCTGTAATTTACATGTATTCATCAAATTGAATATGAAATTCTCACTGTGACCTATAACTCAGAACCTCTTATATTTATTTTACATGCTTAATTCATTATATACCAGTTTGAATTCTATTAATGATGTAAATTAGATTTTGATAAATGTTTTGCTCTTAATAGGACCTATTTAAATTTACTAATCCCCCCCTCGACACCACAATCACACAGCACATACGTTTTGGAATAGGCTAGATGGAACAGTTTTGTTAAAACATTGTTTGTTATGAATTAATTTAAAATTTTTTCTTGTACTATACATGTTAACATATAAATTTCTACATCACATCACGTTGCGTCACCCATTCTCATATTTTTAGATTAAACTCCATTCGGTACACCTCGGCCGATTCCCACTTCATCTGATAAGGTGACGGAATCGACCAATCGGAGTTCCTCGGATGACTCGTACCTCTCACATAACCTCGGACGTCAAAGGTGATCTACCATCTTGCTGATTCAGTCATGTGATCTTATTTGAATTTCATTCAAATATTATACTTTTGAAATCCGACTTACTTTGATGCACGCCCAACACAGTGTTTTTGCTTTCAAAGAATACTAACATTTGGTTGTAATAAACATGAGGAATTACACTAATAAAGAAACTTTTTCTAGGAACTGTAGGCAGAGCGAAATATGAAATGAGTGACAAGGCAGTTTCCGGCGGAGAAATGTAGCGATCTGTTGCGTGTTCCTCCACCTATCACATCCGAGGTTTGAATGGAGCGAAGCGGAGTCAGCCGAGGATTGCCGATTGGGAATCGACGGCACGAAGGTTTTCCGAATGGAATAGCATGAGAACATGCTGCAGTCTGGTGTGCATATTGGATTAATTCATTTTGTGTTATAATTGGATTTATATTTCATGAAGTTGACAAGACCTATGGAGGTCGGTAAGTACAAGTTTAAGTATAGTGGGGGGTAAAATAAACCCAAACGATTAGGTTAAAGTTCAAAAAGGGTCAAAGATCATCGCATGCCACACTAGACGAATTTCATATTGTGAAGTTATCTCCCGTTGTCGATGTGACATTCAGTTACTGCCAATACTGGTGCGGATCCAGAAATTTTTTTCGGGAGTAGGGAGGGGAGTTCACATCTCAGTCAAAAAATTCCAGCCCAGAATTTCCTGACAAGCAGGAGAAAAAAAACTCATAAACTGAAAACAAATAAACAAAATAAAAACAATGATAGTGGGGTCAATGTTTTCTAAGTTAGGGGAAGGCACAGGGGCCGGTAACATACTGTTTTTGATTTTACGTAATCACTATATGTTAGGGATGGCAATCGATTACAGAATTGCTAATCGGTTAACCGCAAGACGTTCCGACCGATTAACCGGTTAAACGTATCAAAATACGCATTTTCGTAAAGTACATAACTATTTTTTCCTAGTATGTAGATCTATTCATATATAAAAGAAGCCTGATAAAGTCTGGATGTAAAATTATTGTATTTGTCTTCATTCTTGTTTTTTAAAATAAAACATATGCTTATATATTTTATTTTAATTAAATATAGATTGGGGAAAAATTTAATGAAAGCACGCACGAATCATGTAGAATAAATCACTGATATTTTTCCAATTCAGATTTCACATACGTTTATTCTGCGTTGCCACCATAATTAAAAAGTTTTGAGTCTGAAATACATCACTTAATTTACAAAGTTTGTTTAGACAGTAATTTATTCTATTTCAGTTCTTTATTCCGTGGGACGTACATCCCATAAGCATCATAAGTACAACATTGTATTTATCAATTACATACATAGTACAATAACATGTTATAAACTTACCAACTAGTAATACATACATTTTATTATATAGCTAATTGATTTAAACATTCCATTCGTAATTTATTAGCATGATATATATATTTCCCTAACTGATTTACATCTTTCGTATTTGTACTACAGAATAATTGTATTAACTTGAAGACACTTGGTCTTCGGGAGTAGTAATGTTTGATGAACTTGTTTCTTAAATCGTGAAAAACTGGACAAATGAATAAAAAATGAAATTCGTCTTCAATATCATTTAAATTACACAGAACACATTTCCTATCACTCCTTATTAAGTTCTCGTATCTTCCAGTTTCAATCTTTAAATTATGTGCTGAAAGTCTGAGACATGAAATTGCTTTTCTATATTTTACATGGATGGGTTTCTTTAAATAACCTTGTAAACAAAAATAACCAACTAAATGCTTATATAACATACACTTTGGTGACTTACATATATCAGATATAGCCTTCTGTTTAAAAACGTCACACATTCTATTGTATGTTATGTCTAATAAAATGCTATCTTTTTGATTACTATGAAACAAGTCAGCTAAACCTAGAGTGTACATTTCATTTTTTATACTCATAACCCAGGGATCTTTATTCTCTACCATATCTTGATAACATGCACTCAAAATACAATTATTACTTTTTCTTAATTTTAACCAATATTTTAATATTCTGCGCTTTCTGTATATATCTAGTGGTACTATAGATAACTGCAAAACCAAACATACTTATTCGAAATTCCCATCGGTTATATAATCATCATTAAAGAAATACAGGACAGTCAGGGTAACGACATTGTGTTTTAACAGTAATTAACACTTAAAATCTTCAAACACAATATGACCAATTACCCTACAATCTCAATCCGGAGAACGATAATTACATCCAATTTAGATTGGATATGTGAAAACGCCGACTTATCAACGTTTATCCAAATATTTCTTTTTTTCAAAAATGGACTAATTCTGACAAAATTATGTTCAAAAGTATATAAATTTTTATTTTTTCCGACTAACCGATTACAGATTTTCTAACCGATTGCCATCGTTCCGACCGAGTAATCGGTTAACCGGTTACAAATTGCCATCCCTACTATATGTATACAAAAAGAGAAAGGGAAACAATGTCAGCTTGAATTTACACAGGGTCGATCTCAGAAATGACTCGGTGTTTTCAATAAAATACCTTGCAGTTAGTGAAATAACGTCTGGGGTCATTCAGTAATAATCACTCTTTAATAAAAATACCATTGCGGTCATTTAAGAATCGTGGAAGTCGTGTTTTGCAGATCCAATATCCTGTCATGCCAGTGATGTAGTTTAAGTCGTCCACTAAATTCGCTAAACATTGCATCCAATATTTAACGCGAGATATGATTGGTCAATGGTGCTTTTCTAGAACAGATCTGACCAATCACGCTCCGCCTTTTACCAATCTTGGGTTTTTCCAAAATGTCGTCTGTTCTGGGCTCGAGCCTCTCTGTGAACGAAAAAGCTACCGTATTTATTCAAATCGGAGATACTGTACCTTTTGATTGCAATTAACAAAAGAAAAAGATGATTTTCGTAAACGCTGGATCCTTACTTTGTGTTTTCCATCTCCGGAAAGACTTCAAAACTGGAGAAAATGTGCGAATTTTGCCTCGTTTTAGTGGACGACTTAAAGTACATCGACTCGCACAACGGGATATCGAGTTAGTATTACCCAACTTAAACGCTATAAAAAGTAACGAGGTTTCTGTTTTACTAAAGCATATTTATTGTAGTATGATTTCTAGTTATAATTTAATTGGCTACATTCTTTTTTCTATGAGATACGAAATATTTCCGAGATCGACCCTGTGTAAATTCGGGCTGACGTTGTTTCCCTTTCCTTTTTTGTATATATATAGCGATTACGTAAAATCAGAAACAGTATGTTACCGGCCCTTGTGGGGGAAGGATGTCCAAAGTCATTTTTTATTTGCTTCAGTATATAGTCTTGCTTAAATAACAAAGCAAATTCCAGGAGGGGGGTTCCAATCTCCCTACCCACTCCCTGTCCCTGAAATAACAATCTATTTTGTGATTCCAATTGAATAGTATATTTTTTTCCATTTGACTAATCATACATATTTTGTTTCTTGTGTTTATATTATGTCTGTCTATTTGTCTGCAGAAATTATAACCTTGCCCATGAGTTTTAAGTGGGATGGGCTATACAAATGGCTTCCACATTTTATAGGTTTATTTCTTGTGACAATTAAGACCTTTTATTTGGGTACCATTAATTTTTACCTCTGATCGCTTGACCTAGGATACACATTTTTACAAGAAAAATACCAAACTTTAAACTTGGCCTAAATTTTGATCAGTAGGTGCTAGGGCTTTCATGCTTAACATGTGTATTCATTTTGAACTGTCAACAGGTATAAATATTTGACCTTGACCCTAGAGTTTGAACCACTTAAAAAATTAACGTTGGCAATTAACTTTTGAACAGGAAGTACCAGGGATTACTTATTTCACATGTGCATTCCTTGTGACAAGACTTTCTTCTGATACCAACATTTTGAATCCACAGGGGCCGGTAACATACTGTTTCTGATTTTACGTAATCACTATATATATACAAAAAAGGAAAGGGAAACAACGTCAGCCCGAATTTACACAGGGTCGATCTCGGAAATATTTCGTATCTCATAGAAAAAAGAATGGAGCCAATTAAATTATAACTAGAAATCATACTACAATAAATATTCTTTAGTAAAACAGAAACCTCGTTACTTTTTATAGCGTTTAAGTTGGGTAATACTAACTCGATATCCCGTTGTGCGAGTCGATGTACTTTAAGTCGTCCACTAAAACGAGGCAAAATTTGCACATTTTCTCCAGTTTTGAAGTCTTTCCGGAGATGGAAAACACAAAGTAAAGATCCAGCGTTCACGAAAATCATCTTTTTCTTTTGTTAATTGCAATCAAAAGGTACACTATCTCCGATTTGAATAAATACGGTAGCTTTTTCGTTCACAGAGAGGCTCGAGCCCAGAACAGACGACATTTTGGAAAAACCCAAGCTTGGTAAAAGGCGGAGCGTGATTGGTCAGATCTGTTCTAGAAAAGCACCATTGACCAATCACATCTCGCGTTAAATATTGGATGCAATGTTTAGCAAATTTAGTGGACGACTTAAACTACATCACTGGCATGACAGGATATCGGATCTGCAAAACACGACCTACACGATTCTTAAATGACCGCAATGGTATTTTTATTAAAGAGTGATTATTACTGAATGATCCCAGACGTTATTTCACTAACTGCAAGGTATTTTATTGAAAACACGAGTCATTTCCGAGATCGACCCTGTGTAAATTCGAGCTGACATTGTTTCCCTTTCTCTTTTTGTATACATATAGTGATTACGTAAAATCAAAAACAGTATGTTACCGGCCCCTGTGTTTGAACCCTTTGACCTTGACCTTTGAGTTTGACATATATTTGAGAAACTTCAACCTTCGCCATAGGCTTCCATACAGGGACATCAGTGTTTCACAAACACATCTTGTCTTCATTATTATTTGGTGGTGTCTCCATATGAGGGAAAAATTCCCGAGAGAGATGTATTCACAACAAACAAACAAATTACTAAAGAAAATATAAAACATGAATACGTTGGTCATGCATATATACAACTTTTCAAATACTGCAACCATATTGTAACCCTTTCAAAACACTCATTTGAGCTTTTTGGTTTCCTTATCATATAACGTCTGTCGTGACATGTCGTCCATCTGTTTGTCTGAAAACTTTTTACATTTTTAACTTCTCTAGAACCACTGGGCAAATTTTACCCAATTCATATAGAAATATGTACATTTGTATGTCAGACTGTCCTTCTGTCTGAATAAAATTAACCTTGGTCATCACAGTCATATCTACTGAATGAGAAGAGACAAGACATTCATATTAAACTTATGTACTAGTATTTACCTGTGAAAATCTGAGAATGGCATGGTGTTTTTTTTTTTACATATGACCTAGAAGTTTGACCTACTTGCAATAAATTAAATTGTTATAAATTCATCATTTTGAAAGAGAAAACTTAGGGCATTCATATTATAATGCATGTATATTATTACCTGTGATAAGACCTTTCCAAATGAATCATGACTTTTACTCTGTGACCTTGACCTTGAAGCCTAACCTACTTTTCAAAAATGTTGCATTTGCTTATAACTTTTGATTGAGATGAGATATGACTCTCACATTTGACATATACATTAATAACTCATAAAAATTCAAGGTGTTTCCCAGCATGCGATGCTTTTTCACCCCTTGACGTTGATGTTTTACATAATTTTCAAAATGTTTAACTCTCCTAAAAGATGATTAGGCTTCTAAGTAACATTAAGGATGACTTCAGGAAAGACAGGACTTTTTGCATAAAAAACGTCATTTTTCGACCCCCATTTGACCCCCTGGGGCAAAATCAGAATTCCAAAACCTAACTGCACATCTACATGACACCACCAACCATCTCCCAAAAGGTGATTAGGCTGCTGAGTAAAATGTAAGAGGAGTTCAGGGAAGATGGGGCTTTTTGCATAAAAAAACGTCATTTTTCGACTCCCATTTGACCCCCCGGGGCCAAATCTAAATTCCGAAACCTTACTGCACATCTACATGACACCATCAATCATCCCCTAAAAGGTGATTAGGCTGCTGAGTAAAATGTAAGAGGAGTTCAGGGAAGATGGGGCTTTTTGCAAAAAAACGTCATTTTTCGACCCCCATTTGACCCCCGGGGCAAAATCTAAATTCCGAAACCTTACTGCACATCTACATGACACCATCAATCATCCCCTAAAAGGTGATTAGGCTGCTGAGTAAACTGTAGAAGGAGTTCAGGGAAGACGGGACTTTTTGCATAAAAAACGTCATTTTTCGACCCCCATTTGACCCCCTGGGGCAAAATCTAAATTCCGAAACCTTACTGCACATCTACATGACACCATCAATCATCCCTAAAAGGT